TTTTAGGTGTTAAGTGTTTTATTCAAAATTATATTCTTTACTACGACTTTCTCACTAGGATGTGTTATTAATAGGTAAAGCATAATAACGCAATATGATGTTAATTTAAGAATGAAACATCACGTGCAAATATCGTGACAATATAAGATAGGATCATCTACTGTTTACATTGGTGCTTACACAAGTCGAATTCATTAAATGATTTCCGCGCGCCTTTATTGAATGAATTGCGTCCTTAGAATGCATGACGTCATTTAGCCGTTATTAATGTTACTAACAATAATAATTCCAGTATCAGAGTCTTATACCGCCGTAAACAATTACCCTCGAGCTAGATATTCAGGTCAGTACCGGCAGACGGTGTTGGATTCTTAAGATAAAGTGATGTCATTTTCGTTATACAAACATGGCGTGGAAGCGCGCTAATGTTGTATGTCTATCGGCGTGTCTGTTATTGTCAACGTGTTTTTACTTTGATTATATTTATATGAGATATATAACATATTTTGATAAATATATTATATTCGTGAATGTTCATTACTATATTTATTTAAAACATTCTAATAGATAAAAATTATTATTTTGCTCGTTAGAGACGCGCATAATAATATATTATTCATTATGTTATCTTAATTCATCATTAACACTCTTAACATCGTTGAAGGTGTATACAACATCTTTAAATTCCTTTTTCTCAAGAACATCAACTAAGATCCAGTTGGACAATCGGTACATTAAAGAAAAAACAAAAGCAGACAAAGGAGATTGATGTACATGACCACATTTATGGTAAGTTTGCAAATTGTGAATTTAAAATAACACAATATCTAAGGTACATTTACTTTTTACCAGTACTGCGTTTAAATTGTTGAAAATTGTAAAAATAATGGTGAATTTTTGGAATATAACTCCCTATACAGGGTTAGAGCAGTACCTCTCGACGCTTGACAGAAATCATGAGCACAAAGGAGAAAAATTTGAAAATATATTGCTTTTGTCGGCGATTCTGACATTTTCATTCATAATCGTCTTGTGAGGAGATGAATTAGCAATCATCGCGAAAACATATTACAAAAGCAGCCAAATTTCTCTATCTTTGAAATCGTATACAGAAACATTATACAGAAAAATTAAGGCCGGTGTATGTATTATTATACTGCATTGGTTTTTCCTTCACAAACACATTATAATCTGAAAATAACATGAAAACAGAGTATCATGCAGCTCTTGTTTTTAAGGCTTCTGCATACAACAAGTAAACAACTGAACAAGTATCCCAAATAGAATGCCTTTTAGGAATGCCTTAAACCGAAACTTTTAGTAAAAAAGGCATCGCCCAGCAAAAAGAAACCTCATTAGGTTACCTGTGCTTCCGAAATGCATATAAAATTTTGATAATGAACAAGTAAACCAAGTTAAAGCTGGTATGGTTTTCTGAGAAATGGATACTAACGAGTAGGTGAACTGACGCCAACGAGAGTCTCATGAAAAGACGGCATCTCCTCCGAAATTAATTGTGAAGGCATTGTACGATTATCAAGCAGGTATCTATTACAACTTAGGTATTTATTTACATTGTTTTCAAGGGACGGTTATTAAACTTTTTCGCGCATTGATATCTGCAGAAGCAAAATTACACATTTGAAGCCTGTGCAAAGTCCGAGAGCTTCTGCAGATGTTATTGTAGTAAAAAAGCCGCATTTCTTGCATAAAGTATTCGTCTGCTTCGGGAATATGTTATATTTCTTTCCTATAAAGAAACTGGTTTTGTAATGCACTTAACACGCGAGTGTGATGTCATGTAACAATTATGGGTTGTGGTCAGAGGCAATTCATTGGTAAATTAATAACCATTGACATACCAATGGTACTAATGTTTACGGACAAAATTTACCATTGGTAGATTAATTTGCTGACAAAAGGTGCTTTCAGAGTATTCCCAGTGGTACTAATACTTATAATCCATTGATAGCATCAAATACCATTGGTAGCATGGGTAAAGTATTTACTCTGAACGTATTTAATCATATTATTCATGTCATTGTTAATATAATGAACATATTAGCACCAAAGCTTAACCAATGGTAGCCTACCAATGGCACCCCATCTAACTGATCTTGATCATAAAGATAGCCATGACTTTGGTCCAGTTTTTATTGTAATTTGTCGTCATAAGTTAGACATGCCAACACTACCATAACACTAGTCTATCTGCAAATTTATCTAAAAAGAAAACAATGTCTTTCAATTTGACAGCAATGTAAATTGAAATTACTTGAAACAAGAAACTTATCGTGGGTTTCAACATGTTAAGCTGATATACCTAAAAGTTTATATTTACTTTATTTTTATTAAGAACTCGCAAAATAAATTGTATTATACCACAGTAAACCATGCGTCTTATTCAAATCATAAAAGACATTGCTGCAGCTGAATAAAAGTTACAATTGGCTATCTCAGATATGATTGGTGGTAAGTGAATAGTATTGAACAATTGCTTACAGCTTGTTGATAGTACATAACTTGGCATAGAAAACATGTAAGATTGCAAAGAAAGGAAATCATTGAATAAACTGAAATATTGACTTCCTTTTCCATTTTCTTTAAATTTATTACGATCACATTTGATATTTTAATAATTACATATTTTACGTGGCAAAATTAGTCGTGCTCTAAAAATGAAATACGCAGAGACTTACTTAATGAGTATGTACTCCATATCCAATTTATTGAATAACGTGAATAAAAGAATTTATAACATTTCTGTATATCATTCATAAAAATGTTATGACATTTTCACTATTGAAACTATTTTCAATATGTGCACACCTTATGTGCAATGTTTTAATCTTACGCTTAAACAAACGGACGAACAAACAAACAAACAAAATTTCCACTGAAAGTTTATCTCCACAAATACAGATCATTTCATCTGTTAATGAATATTACAGTATGCTAATTTAGTATCTTTTGCCCTAATTGCCCTTAGCTTTGTGATCCATACCGAAATATATTATAATATTGGCCAATGGTTTAGAAGGAGGTGTTTGAAACAAAAGTTGACAACGGATGACGGACGGACGCTGCCCAACATGAGCATGTTGTGCTCAGGTGAGCTGTAAATAAACTGAACAGCGGACTAATACATGGTACAAATACAAAACGATGAAATATGTAAAAACTTTCAAAAGCGTCGACAGCAACATCTTTTAAGATTTATTCTTAACAATTAAATCATTAATTAGTTGTTACATTTTTGATATATGTATACTTACATCGTACGATATTAGGGTCTATAAATGGAAATTTAAGGAAACGTGTTTGATATTTTGAAAAAAAGGTAACTACCGGTATATTAGCAAGGAAACGTGTTGTTTCTGATGTAAAAGTCTATAACACTTGATTATAATATGTGCTTAATTCTACCCCTCTTATTTTTAATTCCATGGAGTTTTCCTCACAGTAGTTATACCGGTGCAAATGTATTTTTCTATTATAGAAGATGATGATGAGATCTCTTTTGATCCAGGCGATATAATAACAGACATAGATCAAATAGATGAAGGTTGGTGGATTGGGACAACAGCAAATGGAGCACGCGGGATTTTCCCGGCAAATTTTGTGGAAGTTTGTGAAAACACTTAAGCTGACGTAACAGATGTTTAAGGAAACGAGAGTATTTTTAAAAGAAAATAAAAATAGAATACTTATAAGTTATAACTGACTACCCTGAAACGGATTATAGTTTACAGCAATATTCTTCAGGACTGTTTAAGGCGTAACAACCAACTCCAATTACCTATATGACCATAGTGTAGCATGGTCATTTATTTTTATTTATGTTTAAGATTAAAACCATAAAGAAATGATATAAAAATATTATGATTTGATAAGACAGACAGATGTGTTTAAGAAACAAGCCCCGGCCTTATTCAATAAAAATGTGAGCTTTTTAAAAAAAAAATTCATGGGTTAATTTTGAAAACAATAAGTTAATGAATATGTAGTGAGCTGCAATGTTACGAACGATACTTTGGAAATCTAAGTGTTGCATATATAGAATGCAAGCAATGTGATATAAACTATATTATGATGTTCAACTTTTATTAAACTGATTAACAACAGTTTTATTTGCTTGTCAATTAATTGTCTTGTAAATATTGCACTTCTTGATTATTCTTTAAAAGAATAAGAGTACATACACTTCAGTGATCTTTATGTTTTATACCCCCGCACAACAAAGTTGTAAGGGGGGGGGTATACTGGAATCAGCTTGTCCATCCGTCCGTCCGGCCGTCCGTCGGTTTTTCCTTGTTCGCCAAATAACTTAAGATTCCTTTGAGCCACAGTCTTCATATTAAGTCACAGCGGCCTTGACTAAAAAAAGCTTGTCCGCTCAATAACTTAAGATTCCTTTGACCACACCCTTCATATTTGGCATGGAGGTTAGTCATGGTGAGTAAATGACCCCTATTGATTTTGAGGTCATTGGATTAAAGGTCAAGGTCACAGGGCCTTGACTAAAAAAAGCTTATCCGCCCAATAACTTGAAATTCCTTTGACCCACAGTCTTCATATTTGGCATGGAGAATAGTCATGCTTAGAAGATGACCCCTATTGACTTTGAGGTCACTGGTCAAAGGTCAAGGTCACATCGACCTTGACTGAAAAAGCTTGTCCGCCAAATAACTTAAGAATCCATCGACCCACAGTCTTCATATTTGGCATGGTGGTTAGTCAAAATCATTAGATGACTCCTATTGATTTTTAGGTCACTGGGTCAAAGGTTAAGGTCTCAGAGGCCTTGACTAAGAAAAACTTGTCTGCCCAATAACTCAAGAATTTTTTAACCTACAGTCTTCATATTTGGCATTGAGTTAGTCATGATTAATAGATGGCCCTTATACATTTTGAGGTCACTGGGTCAAATGTCAAGGTCACAGCGGCTCTCACTAAATAAAGCTTGTCATTTGTAGGATCCAATTGTGATTTTAGTAAGACACAAAATTATATTGTGGAGCTTGGTATGAGTCTCTGATTATATCAAAGATCTTCAGATGTCGACAAATATAGTGTATTCTATGTGATAAAAATAGATGGGGCAGCGGTGAAAAGTATTTTATGATCTTTCTGGGGAGGGATATTGTTGACGATTTCATTTTGGATACCGCTTAAGCCTACGCTGAAAAAAAGAGGTTGATTGTTGCACTTTTACATTTTCTCTCAAGTTCAGACTCTTCAAATCACCTCATATAATGTTGATATTTTCATTGCTTATGAGGGATTCTGCTCTTTTCAAGATTGTTATAGCTTTAATATATAGAGCTGAAAGCTTGATGCGCAGATTAAACGGCAGACGACTTTTACTTCTGACAAGGTTTAACTTTTTATGCCCCCACAAAGTGGGAGCATATAGCGTTGCACTTGTCCGTCCGTCCGTACGTCTGTCTGTCCGTCCGTCCGTCCGTACGTCCCAAAATCTTGTGAACGCAACTCCTCTTAAACCGGATGGCAGATTTTGCTTAAACTTACAGGGATGATCAACCTTAATGTGTAGATGGTAGTAAAGGAGGGAATTTTTGCTGCGACCAAATTTAACAGAATTATGACCCTTTGTTGATTTTTTACACCATATAGAAATTTTGTGAACGCAACTCCTCTTAAACCGGATGGCAGATTTTGCTTAAACTTTCAGGGATGATCAACCTTAATGTGTAGATGGTAGTAAAGGAAGGAATTTTTGCTGCGTCCAAATTTAACAGAATTATGGCCCTTTGTTGATTTTTTCACTATATACCATATAGTAATTTTGTGAACGCAACTCCTCTTAAACTGGATGGCAGATTTTGCTTAAACTTCCAGGGATGAACAACCTTAATGTGTAAATGGTAGTAAAGGAAGGAATTTTTGCTGCGACCAAATTTAACAGAATTATGGCCCTTTGTTGATTTTTTCACTATATACCATATATAAGTTGTCAGTGGGGGCATCCGTGTCCTTTGGACACAGTTCTAGTTTAAATATGAAAACAAAACGTGCTTTTATGAATATAAGAATACTTTCAGAACACTTTATAAACTTATAAATATTTTCCACTAAACGGAATCAAAAGATCTACTTAGCCTCAATTAAAGTACATTGCATTTTTAAAGGAGCGATAAAATTATCTATCAATCATATAACACACTATACGGCACACGGCATATCTTATATCTTTCTTTGTACTTGAAGAGATACTAAGTAATTTATTTGCGGTGTCTTCTTGATATATTTGCATGGGAACAAATGACCAACTTTTACCAGGCCACTCATTTTAATTTTATAGTTAAAATGTAAATAAATAAATTCAACTAAAAAGATCAATACATTATTTTGACACTATATATTGCGAATTAAATATTGTTTAACTATGTATACTTAAACGGTCCATTTCATCTAAACCGAAAGAATAACGCTATTGTAAATGGTCATGTCTTTATTGCAAATAAAGGAAATCAATAAAAATAAATAAAACAAAAAATAACGAATAAACGTTATATAGCTCATAAAGTTTTGTAAATTACATGTATTAAACTTAAAATTGTATAATGCATTAATCAGTGGCCACGTGTGATCTTCAGTGACAAATCCAAATTCACCCGAGACTTTCGTGATGGTCAAAGAGGTCTGATGTTGACAAGGCGAACGTTTTAATGAGGTTGCTGATCCATAATCCATAAGCTAGCTGGATAGCTTCCTTACATGAAAGAATTCCAAAGAATGGTCTAGGTCATATCTAAATTATTCAATCACAAGTGTTTTGTCCAGTATAAATCAAATCCTTACATAAATAACAAACTTTATGACAACTTAACCAAAATTCAATAATTTTACCTTGACAGTCAAGGTCGTTTATTGCTCAAGGTCAAGGTCAGTTCAACCTTTTAGAAGGTCTTGTCTCTCAAGTTCAGAATCTTCAAAATCAACTCATATAATTTTGATGTTTTCATTGCTTACAAGGGGTTCCGCTCTTTAATTTCAAGATTGTTATATCTTTAATATATATATAGAGCTAAAAGCTTGATCCGCAGATTAATTAAACGGCAGACGATTTTTACTAACAAGTTATATTTTTTAAATAAACGGCTTATGCTTTCAGAACAAAACATACTTTTATGAATATTTCAATACTTTCAGACCACTTACAACAACAACAACAACAACATAAACGTTTATACAGACTCATATACAGAACAACAATACAGAAAAAAGTTTTAAACATTGTACTGGTAATTAACATGGGGACAGCGATGAAACATCTATATATAAATAAATATAATTTTTATATATAAGTTAATAAACTTATAGATATCTTCCACTGAACTCCACATCGAAACCGGAATCAAAAGATCTACTTAGCCTCAATTAAAGTAAATTGCATTTTTAAAGGAGTGTAAAATTTGAAAAAACCAATCAAAAAACTTTTTGAGGTTTTTCTTTTCTTCCTCTTGTTTTGAAGGATATTTTGAAAAATTTTTCGGTGTCTTCTTTGTTTTTTTGGTTGGGGGGGGAAAAAAATTTCCCCAATTTTAATTTAGGAACAAATTTTAACATTTTGTTTAAAAAATAAAAAAAATTTGGGGAAAAAAATACAAAAGGTAAAAATTTAAAAGCAATTTTTTTTGACAATTTATTTTTGGGGTTTATTTAAATGTATATGTAACAGTCTTTTTAAATTAACCCAAAAAAGAATTGGGGGCATTTCCCCCCCAAGGTTTAAAATTGGGTTTTTTTTTGGGCAAATAAATTTTAATAAAAAAAATAAAGGTTTTTTATATAAATAAAAATTTGGTTGAAAATTTTTGATCTGAAAAATTTAAAAAAAATTTTTTTATAAAAGCTTAATAATTTTTAAAGGTTAATTTTTAAAAATTAAAAATAAAAATACAAAAGTTCATTATTCATTAATTTTTATGGAGCAGAATAATACATTATTCATTAATTTTTATGGAGCATAATAATATATTAGAAACCTATGAAACAAGGGGATTTTTGTTCGGGTATGCGAAGGGGATTTTGACTCAGTTTTATTGATGAAACAGCTGTAATATATATGTCTTTGAGAGAATGCAGTATCTATCGGTCTATTTTATAAGAAATGTAAGGCCGTACATTTTAAAAGAAAAGTTTAAGCCTCAAGCAAACATTTGAAAGAAAATTTTGCAAATTTTTAAGGATTATAACTACAAAATTTTTATGTAAAATATATTTATTAAACATTAATGCACCAAGGGAAAAGTCAATTATAAAATGTCAGAAATTGAAATAAAAATTGTTTAATTAATTGAGTTCTAGAAATAAAATAAATGTTCTAGTGTTTCTAAGTGAATTTGTTTTGTAAATAGTTTCTGTTTAGGGTATCAAAGATATTTTTGAAATTTAAAATGGTTACAAGACTTATGTGAAAGCGTATCAGTAATAGATTGCACAGATAATTGCAAGAGTATTTAATAACTTTTTCATGTTCAAATAACATGTAAATGAAATTTTGTGAAAATTTATTTGTTGGATTATTCTGTCTTCAACATGAGTTTGTATATCTGATATTGTTAGCTTAGGCTATTCTTGGTGATACTTATCACATTATTACAGTATTGGTGATAATATGTGGTACTCTCACGGATTATTATTGCACTCGAACTTGTGGCTTTATGTATATTCACTTGCCTTTTATACGCGCGGATTATTAGCAAAGGGTATTGTGCAATAGCCATATACTTACTGTAACATGTTGATTCAAAACTTCTTAAAACCATATGACACTGTGAAAATTTATGACACTGTGATAATTCATGACACTGTTGGGTATGATTTATGACATTTTACACACTCATATGCAAATCTTGTTGCAAAAATGTGATTATACCCTATACTCTTGTTGGTATAAATTTACATTTTAGATGAAAAAATATTTTTAGGGACATTTTAGTGAATAATGTGACATTTAAATGACATTTTAGTGATAATATATGACAATTAAGTGACAAGTGACATTTTTAGTGATAGTGTATGGCAATTAAGTGACAAGTGACATTTTAGTGATAGTATATGACAAATAAGTGACATGTGACATTTTAGTGATAGTATATGACATTTAAGTGACATGTGACAATTAAGCGATTGTATGTGACATTAAAGTGGCATGTGACATTTTAGTGATTATAAGTGACATTTAAGTGACATGACATTTTAATGGCAGTATGTGACATTTAAGTAATATGTGATGTTTTAGTAATTGTATGTGACATTTAAATGACATATGACATTTTAATGACAGTATGTGACAATTAAGTAATATGTGACATTTTAGTGAGTGTATGTGACATTTTTAGTGACATTTTAGTGATTGTTTGTGACATTTAAGTGACATTTTAGTGATAGAAAGCTTCATTTGGGTGACATTTAGTAAATGTATGTAACATTTTAGGGATTGTATATGATTTTTAAGTGACATGTAACATTTTTTGTAATATTATATAACATATTAGTGACAATATGTGACATGTTAGTAATTATGTGACATTTCAATGATAGGTGTAATGTGACATTTAATTGATAGTATTTGACATTTTAGTGATACTGATATTCCTTGTGATTATAATAACTTGTATTCTTGATTGAAATATGTGATGGTATTCTTGATGATATATGACACTTTCTATGACACTATATGACACCATTGGTGAGTATCATGTGACACTCTATGTGAAAGTGTTATTGTCACTCTAAGTGATAATTTGAAAAACAATTGGTGACTTGGAATATTTGTTGAAATTATTTGACTCTCTTGATAATTATATGTGACACTCTTGAAAATAAAACGGGACACCATAAGTAATAATATGTAATTTCCTTGGATAAAATACGTGACAGTTGATGAAAACTTTCCCAAAATGTGACATTACTATATGGTTATTAAATGAAACACCCTTAATTATCAGTGATAATACATTACTATTTCAGAGAAACTATCTGCCGCTCTTGACTTTTTGTTCCCTCTTGTTTTAGAATCCATGACACTTATATGATGATAATTATGTGACACTGTAATTCTATGACATTCATCTAATCTGTGTTATTTCCGTGATCAAAGGGAAATATTTAAGGCATTTTGTTCTCCAATAGGTATTATCCTGTTCTATAAATTGCCAAAAGGTAATACAAGCCAGCAAAAGATGACTGCTATTAATAAGTTCAATCAGTAACTTTTTCGAAAATTTAGCAGGACGCCAAATATAACAATAACTTGAAAAATAAGAATAGTTGCCAGTTTTATGCGTTATTCGTATATAAAGTTTTCAAAAAGGTAATGAATCTGTTGATAATTCGCTGAACACATAAAAATGTTGATGGGTTATGAATTGTCTGACAAATGAATAGATTATCGCAAGGATGTCATAACATAGTTTTAAGGTGAATTGAGTTCCACTTATGTCACATTGACTAGTCAGAAAAAGTGTCTGGAAAACATATTGTAGTTAGTAACAGACTCTGTTCCTCTTATACAAAAAGAAGTAATTATATTTACATCAATTGTCTGTGGTCTATAAACACAATGTTTAAACAAACTGCACCTCTAGATTAGATGTACATGTATCAAAATGAACTGAGAAAGTTTTTAGGCTTCAGAGCGATATCTAAATTATATCAAACAGAGAGATACATGTATATCAAAATGATATCAAAAGGGACTTGCATGTATAAAGGCTCTACAGATTTATATCAGAATGTTATCCACAAGAACTTATATTGTGTGTTGACTCTAGAGGAATATTTATCAAAATAATAATAAATGGAATTTGTGTCTCTGTATGATGTAAAAATATATCAAAAGAATATATTAAATGGGACTTGTGTCTGTGTATGATGAAATAATATATCAAAAGGATATTAAACGGGACTTATGTCAGTCTGTGTTTGGTGTAATAATATATCAAAATGATATAAAATGGGACTAATGTCAGTCTGTGTTTGGTGTAAAAATATATCAAAAGGATACTAAATGGGACTTGTGCCTGTGTTTGATGTAATAATATATCAAAAGAATATTAAATGGGACTTGTGTCTGTGTTTGATGTAATAATATATATAAAAAGGATATTAAATGGGACTTGTGTCTGTGTTTGATGTAATAATATATCAAAATGATATTAAATGGGACTTGTGTCTGTGTATGATGTAATAATATATAAAAAGGATATTAAATGGGACTTATGTCTGTGCATGATATAATAATATATCAAAATGATATTAAATGGGACTTGTGTATGTGTATGATGTTAATATATATCAAAATCATATTAAATGGGACTTGTGTCTGTGTTTGATGTAATAATATATCAAAATGATATTAAATGGGACTTGTGTCTGTGTATGATGTAAATATATATCAAAATGATATTAAATGGGACTTGTGTCTGTGTTTGATGTAATAATATATATAAAAAGGATATTAAATGGGACTTGTGTCTGTGCATGATGTAATAATATATCAAAATGATATTAAATGGGACTTGTGTCTGTGTATGATGTAAATATATATCAAAATGATATTAAATGGGACTTGTGTCTGTGTTTGATGTAATAATATATATAAAAAGGATATTAAATGGGACTTGTGTCTGTGCATGATGTAATAATATATAAAAAGGATATTAAATGGGACTTGTGTCTGTGCATGATTTAATAATATATCAAAATGATATTAAATGGGACTTGTGTCTGTGTTTGATGTAATAATATATATAAAAAAGATATTAAATGGGACTTGTGTCTGTGCATGATGTAATAATATATAAAAAGGATATTAAATGGGACTTGTGTCTGTGCATGATGTAATAATATATCAAAATGATATTAAATGGGACTTGTGTCTGTGTATGATGTAAATATATATCAAAATGATATTAAATGGGACTTGTGTCTGTGTTTGATGTAAATATATATCAAAATGATATTAAGCTATATGTGATATGAGTGTTAGAGGATAAAATCAAAATTTGGTTATTAAAGAAGGAAAGATGAATATTGATCAGGCTCGGACAATAAATCAATGTTTGAGTTGTGAAACTGACTTGTATTATGACATGTCTACCGGTATGTTGTATATCCATGAAATAAAAGAAATCTATGACAAAATCATATATGATTATGAATTTTATATGACATCAAAGAATTTGACGTTTGATTATCAGTGTTAGTAAGGGATGTTAGTATATTATTTATATATATAAGCTGAGATATCTAGGATAATGGACACACGTATTGGTTCAGGGCAAATCTTTCTTGTCATTATAAATATAAATGATATTAACACAGACAAGATAGATATCAGTATAAGAATAATATCTGTATAGTAAAAGTTTGAAAACAGTACAAATGGATGGAGAGAGGACATTGTGAATATAGATATAGAAATAGAATGTAATAAAAGTTATTATATGATCTAAATATAGCTGCAATCTCATTGGTCCACACAGTAGTCAACAGAACTTTTTATAAAATCATATTTACTGGGTGTAGTATAATATTCACTGGCTGAATTGGATTTTCCCAGTCTAAAAATAGATTGAGACTCGTATTCAATGATCATACACCGTAGACTGTTAAATACGCGTGTTACTTAAAAAATAATTGTTGCTTTTTGTTCTTTATGGCATATTTCTCGATTAAAATATAAAGACATTACCATTTTACTTAAAGGCTACACCGCAATGATGAGTATAAAATTGAATTACTTTTGTATGCGCAGCGTTCGCCAAGTCGTTGCACGCCTAACACGTGCGTCTTTTTTCCCGCGCTTCAACGAGGCAAAATTTGTACATGTATATATAAGGTTGTACTTTTTGTGATTTTTTTTATTTCTTAGCCTATTCATATAATAAAACAATTATTGACTAGTGTCAATCGCCTCGGTCAATATGTCATCTGCCGGTGAATATCACATCATATTCAATGGCTCACTAGTCAATAATTGTATAATATTAATACAGAAAAGATTACAAAAGATAAATATTGCGCATTAAAATGAATTCTAGAACCAGAATAATTTAGTGGAATAAACTTGCCCAGATTTAAATTTGGAAATATCTAATATTATGTTACAAAGTAAACGGCCGCCACTTGATTTAACAATTTTTACAACATCGGTGACTTTGATGATTATATGATAACTGAAAGACTTTCAATGTTTAGTGAGAAGTTAAATATTGTTACATCCACTTTGATTATGTTATTTGAAACTAACAAGTTACAGAAAGAATGACGAAAGGCATATATTTTAACATCTGAGTCAGTCTGATACACACAATCTACTTAGTATATAATCATTGAAAACTTCAGTTGTAAAACTGTCATCTGTTTTTTGACCCCTCATTATTGGCTAGCCAATAAGCCAGAAAGGAGTTTACATATATGAATGATTGCTACATTGTTTCTTGGCTTTAGTTGAAGAGAAAGCAGGTAATAATTTAATGCCTGTTGAGGTTTGTTTTCTTGTTCCATACATTGTCCTAAGATGTTGAGGGCTGTTTCTCTATGTCCAAGGTTTTCATCAGTTACTATGGTTCTTATAAGTTTACTAAGTGCTTGTTGTTGATCTTGATGTCTTTGTAGATGACAGTAGATCTTATATTGTAGAAAGTATAGGAAAGGTAGAGAATCAACTACAGCCCAGTCCATCCAATAGTGTAACTGATGTCTGTGTATCATGTCATCTTGTGTACATCTGAACATTTCATATTTTAGTTCATGAGGAACACAGTTGATCTCTTTCTGTATGAATCTGACACAAAATGCTGTAAAATGTTTGATACAGTCCTCACTTTGTTCACTACATACCCTCTTGAATTCTGCTGTTACTGCTGGTGCAGGTTTATCCCAGCAGCCGCAGAAAGGTATAACAGGATAAGAGTAATATTGTTGTTCAGTGTGTCTTAAAATTACTTCAGCTTTCTCCATATATCCTGTACTGTAGAACACTGAAGCACATTTAAGTTTGCTAGATGAGATATCTGAGTTTAAACCAGCTGATAACCAAACCAATGCTAGAGGTAACACTTGACTATTTTCAGCAATGCTGAATGATGCCATGATAGATCCATATGTGGTATAAAGAAAAGGTGATAGAAACTTGAATGCAGCCTGTTCTAATCTATTATCATTAACATTGAAAGTAATTAGTTTACCTATACAATGCTTTTTGTGTAAATGTTCTAAAACATGCTTATGAGTTACGCTTGTAATGTGTGCTGTGATTAAATATTCTGAGGTCATATAAAATTCATGTATTGCAAGAGAAGATTGATAATAATATGCTCCGTGTGGTACCATGTTCAGTTTAATTTGAAGTCTCAGGCCAAGATCATCAATATCAATTCTATGTAACATTTTTCTGTCATTCTGTATAAAATCACTAATTTTTTTTAAAAGTTCATGTCTTTTTTCAGCTGTAAATTGCCCTGCCATCAAATTGCTTTCTCGGATAATGAAATGTGAACAACAGTCACTCTGTACACAGCTGTGTAATTCTAATAAGCAGTATGTTAAGCATATATATAAATTGTTCTCTTTCCATATACTTGACTCTGTGTTTTCTATACAGTGTAAAAGAACTGTTTTACACATAAAACTTGATATGTTGATTGTCCCCTGAGGATTAAGGAAGGATTTAAGAATCATTTTCATTAATACATAGCACCTTATTTGTGTTATATTTAGGTTTGACATAAGAAACCTCTCTGCCAATGATGTAGATATTCTCCATTCCAATTCAGGATATTCACCGACTTTACTTCCTGTAGGAACAACAAAACACCCAGTACTGGCTGCATATCCTTTCATGTCTTGTGTTGGCCATCTGCCAATACCTTGTCTCTCTAACCAACCGGATGCTGATTGAGGCCATGATTTACAGGGTAAAGAAAACACTGTGTCTGCATCACTTAGTCCAGGTTGTCCTTGTCTAGCAATTGATGGACCATGCTCTACAAAACCGGGAAACCTACCATTTAATAGTGTGCTTTTAAACAATATTCTTCCACTTCTATCAGTCATATGGTATTCATCAGGAATAACAGTGACAGGAAGAGGTTCATCATTTCTGAGCCTTTGTAAGAAACAATAACCAGGGGTAGTGTTCTCATCCTGTATCATGAGGTAGTTTAACTTGCCATGTTCCCACTCTGACAAGTCTTGTATTATATTGACATCATTACCACAGACTAGTATATCAAAGTCTGATTTCAGTCCTAAAGTAGTTGTACCTTCACTCCGGCTCCCTAGACGATATTCAGTTAAATTTTTATCAGTTAACCTGAAAGTGATATTACCCATAGTCTCTAGCAGCATTAAATGTCTTCTCCTTTTCATCACCATTCTTTCATTGACACCAATGTCATCTAAAACCTCTGACAACGCCAATGATACGCTTTCTCTGTAGTCATGTTCTTGAAACATTCTGTAATATATTAGTAAAAATGTTGTAGTCACTCACTAAATTAATTTTGTCACATACTTTTACTTGTAACCTTGTTACTTATTTGACCTTTATGTCCTAGAACAGCATGGGAAAGTAAGTATTGATGTTATGAAATTTTTAGGTAGATATCAATTTAATAATAATAAAAATAATAATAATAATAATAATAATGATAATAATGATAAAATAATATTGTATAGATTTGTTCCTTTTATCTATATGTATTTGTTTTGATATTAACCTAACTTTATTATTTGAATCAGGTTTTAATTGTTGTAAGGTGTTATTTTCTTGATATTTATTTTTTAAACTTTATTGATGCAACTTTTTACCAAAAGTTTCTGTTATGGTTGATTTTCTTCCACTATGTTTCGACTTAAAACTTTACTACTATAAAAGACGTTGTTTTTTTCCATTTTTTGTTAAACAAAAAAAAAACAATAAATTTTATTATAAAAGATATGTAACTCCATTTTAATGCTTTATCAGTAGTTAATAGAATTATGTCCCTTTAAATAGTAAATTTATAATATAATATTAATATTGCATCCAGAACTTTCATAAATAATGTATTTACTAAAATGTGAAACTTTGTTTAAAAATAGAAAAAAATAAACGTACGGTACTTTGAAAGTTGTATTTGACACTATGTCTTGAAAAAATATGAAAATAATTGTACTGACTTTCTGTTTGACAAGGTTATAAGTTTTACTGTTTTTTCTTCCTTTTTTGGTTTTAAATGAAAATATGAAGGGGAATAACTCACTTCCCTTTCCTATGTTGTAAAATTTAATTTGATTATTTCCCCTGTTAATTTGTGAAAAATTATATGCATGTATTTATTCAGAATAATTATATGGCTATACCTCTTCATATATCTTTTAAGAATATGTTGATTTATTTTTATTGTTCAATATTTTGCTTGCAATATTCTTTAAAAACATGTCTTAATAAATTCTGTATTGAATATTTTTTAACTGTATATATAAACTTTATTCTGTATCACTAGAAATTGTAAAAAAAAACTTAAGTTAAGGATTTGATTTTATTTTAGACACAAGACGTTCACAAACCTATGGTCAGTGTACTTGTATGTTTTTCTAAAGTGTATATAAGTATCTGAAGAAAAACACTTAAAGCTTTTGGGTAAGACAATCATGTACACAGCCCTCTTTTTGCCATATATTTTCAGGCACTTGTTTTAAATATATAACCGTATAAAATAAACATAATGACTCAATATTTTAAGACATAAAATGAAATGATTGAAGTGTAATTGAAGAAATATAAATTTATTGTAGGAAATGTATTTCTTTGAACAAATTCTTGTGTTAGTTTTTAAGATAATCCACTTTGTCTTAAAAATAAGTCATGATTTTCTCTGTTTCCTGAGCAGTAATAAATTTAACTAATTAACTGAGTTTTATTTGATGTAAGAGTTGTAAATAACTGAATATATCTGTCTTTGAGAGTATGTAACATATATCAGCCTTGTATGTGGGAAATATAAGACATCATGCTTTTGAAATTAAGTTAAAACCTCAGGAAAACTTTTGGACAGGCATATAAACTTCAAAGTTTTGATGGAAAGTTAAAGCATAATCTAAGAAGGGAAAAAGTGAAAAATAATATGTTAACAATTTTAAATTGATAAATATAAATTCTAATTGTAAATATTTAATTCTTCACAATTGAATTTGTTTTGTTTGTAGTTATAATGATAGTATGTGACAGCTATGTGACACACTGAGTGATAATATGTGACAATTTTGATGAAAATAGGTGACACTGTTGGTATATATGGTGTGAAATGGAATATATGATATCCTTAGTGATAGCTTGAATTGGTATTTTAATATCTGTTTCCACAAGATATTGATAAATTATAAATGTACATGTATAATGTTGATAGAATTTATCTCAAATCTTTGAAATGATATTAATCACACTTGGTGAAAATATTTGATAATTTGTGGCACTTGTTGCAATAAAGTGTGATACTGTGTGATAGAATGTGACACTCTTTATGATGCTATGGAGTCTAAGTAATGCTATTTAGTAAATAAATTCAAACCCGTTCAAAGAAGAGGGGGTATATTGTTTTACTAATGTCCGTCTGTCTGCCGGTCTGTCCGTCAGTAGACCAAATGGTTTCCGCTGATAATCTTGAAATCTATTTATCACAAAGTCTTCATATTTCACATAGTGATTGGTCATAACTAGTAGAGGACCCCTATTGATTTTGGTGTCACTAGGTCAAAGGTTAAGGTCACAGGGGCTTTAAATGTCAAAATTGTTTCCGCTGATTATCTTAAAAATATTCATCACAAAGTCGTCATATGTCACATAGTGATTGGTCATAACTAGTAGATGACCCCTATTGATTTTGGAGTCACTAGGTCAAAGGTCAAGGTAACAGGACCCTTAAATGTCAGAATGGTTTTCGCTAATTATCTAGAAAAGTATTCATCAAAATTTTTCATATTTCACATATTGATTGGTCATAACTAGTAGATGGACCCTATTGATTTTGTGGTCAGTAGGTCAAGGTTAATGGGCTTTGAATGGTAATATGATTTCAACTTTTTATCTTGGTAACTATTTGTCACAAAGTCTTCATATTTCAAATATAGATTAATCATAACTAGTAGATGACCACTATTGATTTTAGGGTCACTAGGTCAACGGTCTAGGTCACACGGGCCTCAAATGTCAGAATGGTTTCTTCTCAATATCTTGGTTACAATTCATGGCAAAGTCCTCATATTTCATATATTGATTGGTCATAACTAGTAGCGACCCCTATTGATTTTTGGGTCACTAGGTCAAAGGTCAAGGTCACAGGGGCCTTGAATGGTATATGTTTCCACTTATTATCATGGTTACTATTTATCACGAAGTCTTCATATTTCACATATTGATTGGTCATATTTAGCAGATGACCCCTATTGATTTTTGGGTCACTAGGTCAAATTTCAAGGTCACCAGGGCCTTAAATGTCAGAATGATTTCTGCTCATTATTTTGGTCACAATTTATCACAAAGTTTTCATATTTCACATATTGATTGGTCATAACTAGTAGATGACCCTTATCGATTTTTAGGTCACTAGGTCCAAGGTCAAGGTCACAGGGGCCTTAAATTTAAATATGATTTTCGCTTATTATCTTGGTTACTGTTTATCACAAAGTCTTCATATTTCACATATCGATTGTTCATAACTATTAGATGACTCTTATTGAATTTGGGGTCACCAAGGTCAAAGGTCAAGGTCACAGGGTCTTTGAATGATAGTATGATTATAGCTAATTATCTTAAAAGATAATTATCACAAAGTCTTCATATTTCACATAGAGACTGGTTATAACGAACAGATGATTGGTCTTGCTTTTGGGGTCACCAGATCAAGATCAAAAGATCAAGGTCACAGGGGCCTTAAATGTCAGAATGGTTTCCGCATATCATTTTTAAGACTTTTATCACAAAGTCTTCATATTTCACATACTGATTGGTCATAACTAGTAAGTGACCCCTATGATTTTGGAGTCACTAGGTCAAAGGTCAATGTCACAGGGTTCTTGAATGTTAGTATGGTTTCCGCTATTTTTCTTGAAAACTGTTCATCACAAAGTCTTCATATTCCTAATATTGATTGGTCATAACTATTTGATGACCCCTATTGAGTTTGGGTCACTTGTTCAAAGGTCTAGGTCACAGGGGCCTTAAATGTCTCATTATCTTGAAAACTATTCATCACAAAGTCTTCATTATTTTTCTTTTTTCCATAATTGAACACTTCCATGTACCCATTTATGGCAAGTTTCTATAACAAAATTATCAATTATGTGAGTCAAGGGCTAGAAAGAGGGGCATATGTGTCGTTCGACATTTCTTGTTTCTTTTTGGATAAATTGTTTCATGTATTGTCAAATTAAAAAAATTATGGTGAAAAATACCCCTTGATACATGTAATCTACTGGTTAGCTCTTTTTTATTTAAATTACCAAAGCAGACAAGTTGTTTCCTGGTCTTTTTTTTAAGTCAATTATGTTTTATGAATAGCTCTACGGATGCTGTTTCAAGAAGGCTTAACAGTGATATGATGCACTTTCCCACAATAAAAATACTGAAATACTTAGTTTGAAACAAGGCAGTATTGTTTTTCCAACAGAAAAACAAAACAAAATGCTGATTTAATGACATTCTTGGTGATAATATGCTATACTTCTGTATACTCCAGTAAATCTTTGAAAGACTAAATCTTTACTTTATTAAGACTTGATGGTACATGCTTTTTTCATATATGTAAAAAATGTTTGAAAACCAGTTTTATCGTTGTTACAGATGTCCCATTCGTGTTTAAATATTAAGATATTTTTGGTAGAGTGTTTGCAGGGGCGTAACACGTTGGAGGGGGGCAGGATCTGACCCACAAGCGTCTGTGTTGCAAGTTTGTTTTGATGATTTCTAGGTAAAGTTTGAATATGGGTTACCTGGGTCATACTGGCCAAATATGGAAAAACTTTGTTAACACTCTAGAGGTCACATTTTTTACTCAATTGTCATCAAACTTGGTCAGGATGCTTGTCTAAGTAATTGCTTGGACGAGTTGGATGGATCAGGTGAGCGATCTAGGGCATCTTGGTCCTCTTGATTGGGGAGTAGAATAGGCCTTTAATTTTTTTATGTTGAAATTCATATTTGTTTTACTTTACTTCCATTTTTTGTTGAAAATATAAAAGACAAATAATGTTTAATTAAAAAATGATTGATTTATATGTCTGCTTTTGCATTCTACAGTTACATAAAAATTGTTAAGGCTTAATGATATGTCATCATAGTTATATATCTAATAAATTTTCAGTTTTTATGTTTTTGATATTCAAAGGCCGTTGAATTGTAATTTGAAGCAAAATATTGACTAAGGAGATAATTGAATTGAACACAAATCTAATAAAATATAACATGTATTACTTTTAAAAACATTGTTCAATATAAATATGAAATTTTCTTTAATTATGAGAATATATTTTAAACTTACTTTGAATTTGACATAAAGTTTTGAAGATAATCCAAAAATGGTATTGACTTTCTGTTTGACAAGAAATGGGGAAATTTTACAATTTTTACTTCCTCTTTTGGTTTTTACTGAAAAGTTTAAAGGGGAATAACTCACTTCGTTTTCCTGTTGTTATGAAAATTGATTGGATTATTTCCCTTATTAGAAATTTAAGAATTATATATATGAAGTTCCATATATTTAATCAATAAAGAAGTTATTTAAACAACAAATTATTTAAAAGGAATGTTGCATGTAAAATTATGCTCTTAGAGATGAATGACATATTTTCATCAGAAAAATAATAATTGTTATATAAATAAGGTTTTTCAGTCAAGGGCATTAACTTGTGTTTATATTTGTGGTTGTTGATAAATGGTCAGTTCATTGTATTTCATTAGAAAATTTATATAGATGCTGGTATACAAAATAATTATATGTCCATAGTCATATACATAGAGGATATTTGTTTGTTTTGCATGTAAGATTGAAATATAATTTCACTGAGTGAACACCAGATGCAATATTTTCACGAGTGGCGTAGCCACTCGTGAAAATATAATTTAGCTGGTGTTCACGAATGAAATATATTTCAATCTTATAAGTAAAACACATAAATTTTCTTTTTATTTCATGCTTTTTAAGTGATTTTAAGTATTTTTACTGATTTTGCCGCGAAACGTCGCGCATCTACTTTGTGACGTCATCACATCATGACGTCACATCATCAATTTTGAAATATAGTTCTGTTAGATTTTCTCTCATTTTGTTACATTTTTAACATGGTGTATGGTGACATCGACTTTCTTTTCCTAAAGAAGCAAAATTTACGTATGACGGCATTTTTTTCTGCCTGTTATTCCATTAAGTTTGATTTTCTTTTCATCCGCATTCAGATATAGTCCGGCTACAGTGAAAATTATATTTTATAAATTTCACTAGTGGTTTATCAGAATATAATCATCTGATATATTACAATAAAACACTGGAAAGCATGAAATAACAGTAAAGAATATGGTGATTTATTTTCAGTATTACTATTATTATTCCTTTAAACTTACTGATGTTGTCTTTATAAATTCTGTTTTGAAGGATTTTTACTGTCTAAATAATCTTCATTCTGTATCACTAGAAATGATTCAAAACCTGTCAAGTGTTTGACTTTAAACACAATACACACATTGTATTAAAGTCTTGTATTAGTTGTTCTAAGTGTATATAAATATCTAAAGAAAAACATCCATGGTCTTTTTGTGTATGAATAAACTTTATTGTGTATCAATAAAAATCAATACAAATCTTGTGATGGAGCAATAAATTATATACATGTATAATGAGCATTTAAATTAGATTTGTCAGGCACTTACAACTTTTAAAAACTCCCCGAATAGAACAAAGAAAAGGATTTGATATGTAAGGCAGATAATGAAATGATTAAAGTATAACTGAATAAATATTTATTTATTATACACCCACAAATGAAATTTTGGGCGTTTATAGGTATGAGCTTGTCGGTTCATCTGTCCACCTGTCGGTCGGTCCACTTCACGATTTCAGGACAAAAACTAGTTTGGAATAAGATATCAATTGTCATTAAAGTTTGTATAGCAAGCTTATGTGGAGACCTCAGTTTGGATTGCTTTTGCATCATCTAGGGTCAAGGTCAAGGACACTGTTACAAAAAGGAAAAGTGGTTTTCTTGCTCATTCTGTGAAGGATTACAAAATAATTTGTTACAAATGTTGACCATGATGGGGTGGTGTGTTACACACAAAAACCTTGGCTGCCGCTCGAAAGTTAAGATCACACCTTAGGGTCAGCACAAAACCTGTGTCTGGAGCGTAACTTTTACATAAGGGATTCTAATATAACTTGGGGAAAATATTCTCAATTGTAAGGCGGAGTGTTGCGCGAAAAATTCAGGTGTCTGTGACAAAGGTCAAGGTCACACTTAGGGATCAAAGGTCAAATAACAAAATAAAACATTCATTTGCAAGTATAACTTCTGTATTCGTTTATGGATTTTGATATAACACAAATGTTCTCCATGTATTCGCCGGTATCTTGCTTATGCTTTGAAATATTATGCTTATTGGTCAGACAACTTTTGTCAAGCCGCTTTCCCTGAGCTCGACAAAATTGTCAAAATTGCTGTTCAGTATTTGTGTGTTTGCATGTGTCCAAACTTGTTAATGCCATAATGTCTTCATACATGGAGGAATTTTCTAATAACATGAATGAGCTTTTAGGCACAAATGTTCATCATGAGACTTAATGTGCCATGCACATGAAACAGGTCACTTGGTCAGAGGTCAAGGTCACCTTAGATTATGCAATGTCAAGGTTTTGCCTTGGGTATAAAGAGGATGTGCCGTTCATATCTCACCCATGTATACATCTTTCTCCTTGATCTGAAGCTTAAAGGTTTAGGCCATGTCTTGTTGTGAATGAAAGCTTCTTCTTTATTAATGCTTATATTATCCAGGCTCTTATTTTACTATAAAGGTCTAAGAACAGTTGAGTCCTATCACCAGCTCATGTTTTGATTAGCTCCTTTTATTAGCTCACCAGAGCCAAAGGCTCAGGGTGAGCTTGTTGTGTAAACACTAAATAATCAAAAGATTGCACTGGTTCTTCAATAACGTTGTTTTATTATCGATTACCGGAAGTCAACTCATATAATGACGTCAATACAATAACATATAAAAAGGCGCGTCACGCTAAACGTGACGCTAATATTGGTGCAATAACTCAGTACGTACATATGTACGTAACACTCCGGGGGCCAAAATGCTTGTTCAAGATCATATTAAATAAAATAATAATTGTACAAACTGAAATTCAATGAAATGAAGTATTGTAACTTAGAAACTTTGAAATCAGATATATCAAGTGAATATAATTAAATTGCAAGTTCGATCAATTAAACCAGTCCTTAATTATCTCTGATAATAAATCACTGTTATTATTCTCTTACTGTAATAAACCGGTAAAGTTTTACTGAATTTATAACGCATTGCAAATATCACTAAATGATTAAAATGTATGCGCGAATAATTGCTTTAGACATTCAGCAAATGCACGTGAATCAAGTGTACAATGTTACTTCAGTTCTAGTGGGTACAGCTTGGCAATAGGTCGTGTAGTAATTCCTCGTCTGGATTTAACACGGGCTGCTCGAATATGTCCATCACCGCCAGTTACTACATCTTCTATAATTCCTAATGACCAGCGATTCCTTGGAAAATACTCGTCATGTATTTGAACCACGTCACCAACATTGATATTGTCACCATGGTTACCAGATTTTCTGTGAAACTCTCGCAACGATGTGAGGTATTCGTGTTTCCATCTTGACCAAAAATGATCAAGCGTTACAGTCTTAAATCTGAACAATTTACCGGCCGATTCTTGGGTTAATTCCTTTGTTGTGTGATCTCTGTCGTCTGGATAAATAGGGGAGGTAATCCTTCGTCCGTATAGTAGATGCGATGGTGTTAATGGTTCTTCATATTTGGTATATGTATATGTAAGAGGGCGGTCATTGATAATGCATTCTATTTCTGTTACAAGTGTACAAAGAACTTCCATGCTTATTAATGATTTCCAAAGCACTTTTCTGATACATGTCTTGGTAATACCTATAAGTCTCTCCCACCAACCACCATACCAAGGGGTATGTTGCGGGATAAAAGTCCATGAAATATTGTGTGTTCCAAGAATCTCGTCCTTCAGGATTTTGGCAGTGGCTATATATGTAAGGGCGTTATCCGACATTATAATTTTTGGAATTGATTTTCTACTGAAGAAACGCCGTAGAGCCAAAATGAATGATTCCACAGTCATATCTGACACAAACTCTAAATGGATAGCTCGTGTATTTGCGCACGTGAAAAGACAAATATATGCCTTTTGTAGATCTCCATGAGGTGTTTTTACTGTCAATGCTCCAGTGAAATCTATCCCTGTCACAGTGAATGGTGGTGCTTGTTTCAATCTGTTGCTCGGTAAAGGTGGGGCGTCGGGAATACTATATGCTTTACCTGTTACCTTGCGCACAAATCTCGGATGTTTCGCTTGATACGGACGCTTGAAATGGCTGAGCATTAGGGTTTAGAGCTGGGGAATTGTACAGTAGTTCAAATTTGAATTTGATACCTTCCTAAAATCATGTATCTTCTGTATCTTGGTCTTTAACATGTATATATACTCATCATGCTCAAGAATTTCTGTTTCTATTTGTTCTTCTTCTTCGTCTTAAAAAGAATCAAGGATCTTTTCGTGAATCTCCGTGATCGTCTGCTGTTTCTGTTTGAGGGAGTCAATGATCGTCCCAAGTTCCTCGTAATCGGCTGCCTCCCGCTGAATCATCTCGAATTTGTTCAGGAGTCGTGTAACTGCGCCTTTGTGACCCTTCTGTATAGAACGTAATTTTGTTGCCATTGTGTTATCCGGTTCGCGGGACCAAAATGTTGTGTAAACACTAAATAATCAAAAGATTGCACTGGTTCTTCAATAACGTTGTTTTATTATCGATTACCGGAAGTCAACTCATATAATGACGTCAATATAATAACATATAAAAAGGCGCGTCACGCTAAACGTGACGCTATAATAAATAAGCCTAATATTGGCGCAATAACTCAGTACGTACATATGTACGTAACAGAGCTAATAGTACCAAAGGGGGATACTCCAGCGTCCGTCGTCATGCGTCAACAATCGTCTTCTTCTCTGAAACTACTAGGCAGATATACTTCAAATATGGCCTGTAGCATTCTTGTGACAGTCACACTTGAATTTGCTCATGTCATTCCAATTGGTCCCTTTAAGGGTCAGCAGAGGTAAAAATAGAAAAACCTTTAAACATCTTCTTCTACACAACTAATTGATGGATGATCACCAAACTTTGTCTGCAGCATTCTTGGTAGTCTTTTATCAAAGTTTGCTCATATTAATTTGATTGGCCCCTTTTAGGGGTCTTTAGAGCTAAAAATAGAAAAACATTTAGATATCTTCTTCTACAGAACTAATTAATGGATGATCACCAAACTTTGTCTGTAGCATTCTTGGGTAGTCTTTTATCAAGTTTTCTCATATGAATTTGATTGGCCCCTTTTAGGGGCCGCTTAAGCTAAAAATAGAAATACCTTTCAATGTCTATTTCTACGGAACTTATGGATGGGTGATCACCAAACTTTGTCTGTAGCATACTTGGGTAGTCTTTTATCAAGTGTGTTCATATTAATTTGATTAGCCCCTTTTAGGGGTCTCTTAAGCTAAAAATAGAAAAACCTTTAGATATCTTCTTCTACAGAACTAATTGATGGATGATCACCAAACTTTGTCTGTAGCATTCTTTGGTAGTCTTTTATCAAGTTTTCTCATATGAATTTGATTGGCCCCTTTTAGGGGTCGCTTAAGCTAAAAATAGAAATACCTTTAAATGTCTATTTTTACAGAACTAATGGATGGATGATCACCAAAATTTGTCTGTAGCTTTGTTCGGTAGTCTTTTATCAAGTTTGCACATATTATTTTGATGGGCCCCTTTTATGGGCGGCTTAAATTAAAAATAGATATACGTTTAAACGTCTATTGCTGAAGAACTAATTGATGGATGATCACCAAACTTTGTCTGTAGCATTCTTGGGTAGTTTGTCATCAAGTTTGCATATATTATTTTGATTGGCCCCTTTTAGGGGCCGCAAAAGCTAAAAATAGAAATACCTTTAAATGTCTATTTCTACAGAACTAATTGATGGATGATCACCAAACTTTGTCTGTAGCATTTTTGGGTAGTATTTTATCAAGTGTGTTCATATTAATTTGATTAGCCCCTTTTAGGGGTCTCTTAAGCTAAAAATAGAAAAACCTTTAGATATCTTCTTCTACAGAACTAATTGATGGATGATCACCAAACTTTGTCTGTAGCATTCTTTGGTAGTCTTTTATCAAGTTTTCTCATATGAATTTGATTGGCCCCTTTTAGGGGTCGCTTAAGCTAAAAATAGAAATACCTTTCAATGTCTATTTCTACAGAACTAATGGATGGATGATCGCCAAACTTTGTCTGTAGCATTGTTGGGTAGTCTTTTATCAAGTTTGCACATATTATTTTGATTGGCCCCTTTTATGGGCGGCTAAAAATTAAAAATAGATATACGTTTAAACGTCTATTGCTACAGAACTAATTGATTGATGATCACCAAACTTTGTTTGTAGCATTCTTTGGTAGTCTTTTTATCAAGTTAGCTCGTATCAATTTGATTAGCCCCTTTTAAGGGCCGCTAAAATTAAAGATAGAAATACGTTTAAACATCTTCTCCTACAGAAAAAATTAATGGATGATCACCAAACTTTGTCTGTAGCATTTTTTTGGGAACCTTTTATCAAGTTTGCTCACATTAATTTGATTGGCCCCTTTAAGGGGCCACTAAAGCTTAAAATAGAAAAAATAACCTTTGAACATCATTTCCTACTGAAATAATTGATAGATGATCACCAAACTTTGTAGCATTGTTGGGTAGTCTTTTATCAAGTTTGCTCATATTAACTTGATTAGCCCCATTTAAGCTACAGCTTAAATGCCCCAGGTCATGTCATTTCTTCAAATTATTGTTTAAACATATTCTATACTCAAATTTAATATTAGAATATATTGACACTCCAACACTGTAAAGCAGTTTCTGGTGAGGGACTCAGGGCCGTCATGGTCCTCTCGCAATACAGTAAATTTTCTTTAATAAGACCACAGATGGAACTGACTCAAATATCAGGTCGAAAAAGTGAAGACAATTTAATATCTTATGAAGTCCAATATAACTAAATATATATTTACCCAGACTTTTATTTAGGTTTTATATATATTTTACTATATTTCTGTAACATTAAAAAGAATGCAAACTAAAGAAAAAATGAGGTTTAACAATTTTTATGCCACCGCAGCATCTGCGATGCTGTGGCATTAGCGATTCACCTTGTGTGTGTGCATGTGTGCGTGCGTGTGCGTTATATAGCTTATAAAGTGAATTTTAAAAATCTTCTTGTGAAAAACCACTAGTCAACCAAACTTGGCATGATTGTTCCTTGGGTAAAAGACTTCCAAAGTTGTTCAAAGAATTTGATTCCATGCAGAAATCTGGTTGCCATAGCAACCAAAATTATAAAAATTATAAGAATAAATTAAAAAAATCTTCTTGTAAAGACTCACATGGCTAGAGCTTAGATATTTTGCATAAGGCATTGTCTGGTAGACCTCTACCAAGATTGTTCAAATTATAGCCCTGGGGTCAAAATTGGCCCCGCCCCGGGGGTCATTGACTTTCACTATATGTACATATAGTAAAAACTTAAAAATCTTCTTGACTGAAGGTATAACGCTTAGAGCTTTGATATTTGGTATATGATATCCTCTATAGATTTTGTACCAAATTTGTTCAAATGTTGCCTCTAGATTTTGACACTAGTGTCGAAATTAGCCCCGTCCCGGGGGTCATAGGGTCCATATATGTTTATAGTAAAATAATAAAAATCCTCTTCTCTTAATTGACAAATTAAATAGAGGTAAGATATTTGGCATGAAACATTGTGTATTGAACCTCTACCAAGATTGTTCAAATTATATCCCTCGGGTCAAAATTGGCCCCGCCTTGGGGGGTCATTGATTTTCATTAGGTACATATAGAAAAAACTTGTAGTATCTTATTGTCTGAAGGTACAAGCAGGCTTAGAGCTTTGATATTTGGTATATAATATCATCTATAGGTCCTCTACCAAAGTTGTTAAAATTTTTCCTCAAGTGTTAAAATTAGCCCCGATCGGGGGAGTCAAAGGTTTTCCATATATGTATATAGTAAAAGTTTAAGAAATTTACTTCACGGAATTGGCAAAGGGTAGAGGTTAGATATTTGGTATGAAACATTGTGTAGTGGACCTTTACAAAGATTGTTCAAATTATAGCCCTTGGGGGCAGTTTCATTGATTTTCATCATGTACATATAGTAAAAACTTAAAAGATCATCTTGTATGAAATGAAACAACTTACAATGTAATGTCTTATATATGTTATGGAATTTTATGTAATATTCAATACCTGGGACTAAGTCTAAAGGTCATGATTTTCAGAGATATCTATGAAGTGATTCAGGTCATGAACTCTAGCAAGACAGTTTTGAGCTTTGTTGGCGTCCGCGCCGAAGCGCGGCGCCCCTTATGGAATGAAATCAGATTTTGTGAAAGGGCAATTGCAACTTCTCGGGCTTTTTAGCCGGTCATTATAGCCGATCATTCCGATTGGTATGAGGGTGTTTGATTATTTAAGATATGTAATAGCAAATAAGTAATTAAGTAAGTAACGGCTTTATTTAATGAGGCTAGCCCATTCGGTTTCCCGATCTTCCATGTGGGCCTGAGCATATACATACAATGTAACATAACAACATATAAATACAATGTAATATAAATTATATACAGTCAACATTTATAAAACATCATTTAAGAAATAAACTGTTAATTTTTATACTTAATTTTTAATTTTTGTGGCATTTTCAAAAACTTCAATATTGAAAAATACAAGCAAAGTAAAAATAAATTAAAAATACAACTACATGTAATGTTAAAAACAACACAGTTATAGAAGTTATAGTCATCTTGGTATCATATTTAGAGAACTATGTAGTTACACAATAAAAATGGATTAATTGACATACATTTAAATGGAAAATTGCCAATGAATATATTTGGCTTGAATTTTTTTTCAAAGTTTCAGAATTTCTAACATGTATTGGAATGGTATTCCATATTGTAGGCCCAGAGTAATTAAATGTTTTCTGTTTTTGGTTTAGGTACATTTAGTTTTTCATTTTGGACATACCTCAAATTAAAGTTGTGTTTATCATTTACTGTTTGAAATTTATTTTTTATATAATTAGGAAAGGATAGTTCATTTATTGACTTATACGTTAGAATTACCTTGTGCACCGATTCTTTGGTTAAAGGACATCCAATTTAGTTCTTTAAATAGTTAATTTGATGGGGCATCAAAATTTTTGTCCAAAATTATTCTAACAGCTCTTTTTTGAAATTTGATTATTTGTGAGAGTAAA